AAAGGAAAAACTTGTGCGCTCCAAAGCGTGCATATACGTAAATAGGACATCGAGACGTAGTTCGTTGTTGTCGTTGCAGCAGCCATAGCGCACACAGGTATAGAGCATGCATTAATGCATCATGCAACGCTGCTGCCAGCGCGCACGAGGCAAACAATTGCGAAAGACAAAAGTGCGCGCGGCGAATTGGCCAAGGAAAATCCTATATGTGCACCTCTCGCACCCGCTACATAGCGCGCTATCTGCATGCTCGTACTCTATACTGCACTGTACAATGTTGTGTATGTGCACGCGTTCGCGGATTAGAAAGTATTACGCGGCCGAGTCGTCGTTGTTTATGCCGTGTTATTCTGTTTAAAGCCACGGCTCGCTCGGCGATGCATGAGAATTTGCACATTTTTAACAGCTATGACTCGGCTATTGAGTGCTCTGCGCTGGTACATACACAAATACGTATATACCAACACAGGTATACAGGCCACACGGCACAAAGCTTCAATGTCGTTGAAGATATCTCGCAGAAAAGAATAAGTAAGAAGCCAAGGGGGAATTATAACGAACCTACCAAGAGTGTTTTTTTCATCGCTTCCGTTGCAAGGGCGAACTGTGCCGGAAACGAAACTATATATCCCCGTCAGTCTGTGCCTATATATCTATATATCGTTAGGCACACTCAAAGACGCATTATAATACGCAACGCAAACTTATAACGTACATTAAACTCGACTCGAAAAGCTCTTAAATTTTCTAAAGACGCCGGATCGAAACTTTCCTCGGCGAAAGTTCAACTCGGCCTTATTATTGCCGTTCGCGAAAAAGAAAGTAGCCGCCTGTATACGTACGTACGCTGTTTATGTACTTGTGTGTGTGCTAATATAAATTTTTTGTTTGCGAAATAACAGCTCCAACTACGCACGTATTTTTGCACTGATTCACTAATTCACGCACACGAGTAATATACAGCGGAGCGTATACATTTTTTCGTACACATACACGGGCGGCTAATGCAAAAGAGGTGGGAAATAAAACAACGTCAAGCCTACCTCCTAATCCCATCTTTTTCTTCAACTTCTTCAGCACCTTCATCTTGCTTTTGATCGGAGCAAAGATGTGCGTGTCGTTGTTGTTGTTGTTGTGTTGAACAACGACCTCGTGCTGTTGCTGCTGATGATGGTGATTGTGATGATGGGACGACGATTTGTGCACGTGATGATGATGATGATGCGAGTTGTGCGGATGATGATGCACCGAGGGGACGTGGGCAGATCCCGCCGGGTGATGTTGATGATGATAATGATGATGACCGGCGCTCTGCTGAACGACCACAGTCGTGGCGGTCGTCGTGGTGGCCGGCCCAGCGTGAGCACAACAATGACACGCGTGCTGCTGCTGCTGTTGTTGTTGCTGCTGCTGCTGTTGATGGGGATGCTGATGAGGGTGCTGGTGATGGTGGTGCAGTTTACCACTCGGTTGCTGACGAATCGCGCACTCTGATACACCCATACTTGCTATATTTACTTCTTCTTGTTAGACGTGTTCTGATCGCGAACGAAAACTCAACACTTTTGCTTTATTATTTTTTATTTGTCGACGGATCTCGGCAATTATTCACAGTTGATTCATTTTCAATTCACTGACACTTTATTTTACAAATCGAGGGACACGACTTACTACTCGACGAAACGGGGGATGACACTGGGAGCAGCTCGACAACAACTCCACGTTGACCGTTGTATGTTCGCGGAGCGGCTGCTTGTTGTCGGTTCGAGCGACTTGGTCTGACTGAGCTTGAAGCTCGCCCTACGATCCATCTGTATCCGAACGGCGCGCGAGCCAGCGACCAATCCGCTGTTACTCCGTCTCCCACCACCGCAGAAACTCCCTGCCTTGGCTTGCGCTGCTGCCGCCGCCGCCGCCGTCGCGCAGCTCTCCGACTTGCGCCGCTACCGAGCGAGCCGGCCGAAGAAGCTTTGGCTGCTGCCGCTTTTACGCCAGCTGACAGCGGGCGCCGATCAAAGGGCAGCTGCTACCGTCTGTACCAGGTGTGTGTGTGAGTGTGAGTGTATATGCACACACTCTCTCTTTCTCTCTCTCTCCTCGGTACACCTATACCTATATACCTGAATAGCAGCAGCCGGCTTCTCTCGTTTTGCTGCCTCCTCTCTCGCTCTCCCTCCGCATGACCCCTTGCTATATAATATTATATAGCAGCAGAACGCACGCATCTCTTTCTTTCTTTTTTTTTCGGCATATATGGCATGGGTGGAAATTCGTTCGATGCGGCGCGTGCCGATAATTCCTATATGGTGGGGATAGCTGGACGCGTGCACAAAACTCCGAAACGCCTCAGCAGCCCTCGCGCGGCGCACATTATTACACTGCCATAGACGTACAATAGCCACGCATGTCGCCCGTGTATAAGTGCGCGGGTGAAGAATAACGAGGATACTTTTTTGATTTTTCCCCATTATGCGCGCCTATTGTCCGACTCTCGCACACTCTCGAGATCGCAGCGGGGCGAGAGGCAGAGAGAAAATGCAATTCGATCGAGGCGTGCGCGTTGGGTATCGGCTCGGAAAAAAAAGTTGCCATCGACGCTTGAAAATCATTCTCGCTGTTGCGCATCGAGTATGCATTATTATATGGAGCTGCACATGTACGAGGAGCGAAATGTTATTTCGCTCGTGCGCTGTGTACGCTATATATATATCGTGTCTGCATATATATAAGAAAGGTATATACATCGCCGGTGCAGCTCGGCGTACAGTATTTTGCATGTATATGTATGCGCTATACGGGAGGCACGCGCGTATCAAATACGTATATCCGTACGATGCGACGCGATAAAACAAGAAAACGTGACAGTGATAGGTAATGCGAGATGTTGAATTGGCCGTGTATATGATAAACATGCATCCGCTCGTACACGTCGGATTACAGATACGGTACGATTCTCTACTGCTCCTGATCGATGGTGTACGGTAGCCGTGCCGCAAAAACTAAATGCATCCGAAATTTTTATCGTGATTATCCGTGCGCCCGAGAGCCTCGATCATACAGACTCAATACCCGATCTATTAGGCAACTCGTCACTGTTAAAAGATACAAAACAATCATTTCATTGATCGACGGCATCATCCATCTTTTTAAATGCTCTATTGGCATCGCTTGTTTTTCGAGGAGAAATCTGGTGGGAAGATTGGTATCTCGTCGAAGCGCACCTTCGACTCTGCATTAACTCGCCAATTTTGCCTATTTCCCATAGTCTTGGAAAGTATATTATGTCTAGGTACACGTAACAGCGGCAGTAGGTATAGCACATGAGCCAGAGAGCTATCGCACACAAGCTATAATACGGTACAGAGTCCGAGTGAGCGGCCTTTTTCCCAGCAACGCTCGAGTCTCTTTCATGGGACCCTACTTGCTCGGGACGTCCCATTCCCGCGCTAGATCAAGCCTAGCTCGCGCGCACATGACTCGTTTCTTCTCTTCTTTCAGTTTCTAGTCTTTGAAAATATTTATATCACTTTATATGTAGGAATTCATTTGCGTATCTATACGTAAATAGACGGACGTTGCGGACACTCGTGTTTTCTCAAATTATTTTCCCAAACACTACCGAGAGGTCAAAAATTGACTTTTAATTATCTGTACACCTGTCTCTCATGCTGGGAACGAACTGCATGAGAAAATAAGTCTCTTCCTGATTATTTTTTTTCTATGTATATTTAAATGTACATGTGAAAATTACTCTCGCTCGCAGTTACGATATACTTAGCGCTTCAAAAGTTTTTATAAGCGTCAACTTCAAATTAGCGATTGTTTAATTTTACTTGTGACAATAAAATTCAGAGTCAATTAAAAAATCTTTGCAAAAAGTACCGCTAAAGTTTGGATTCAATTTCGACGCTCCTATCCAAAATATAACATCAATTGAAAATTAACAATGATGACTTTTTTGACTCTATACAAGTGGAAATTGACCCACATTATGCATCTATCACATCTACATAATCTATAAAAGCGAGTGTAAACACGTGACAAAGACTGTATTAGCTTCTCCCTTCGCTCTAGTAAAAAAAACTTATTATCGTGCGTAACAATGATAGGGGGAGATACATCCCTATTATCCAGGTGTTGGCGTATACGCATATTTGATTCTTTGACCTTGTCCCCTTGTTAGTTTGCTAATATGGGCATGGAGATAAATGGGAAAAGGGTCGATACTAGGATCGCTTTAGATTATCAATACAACGAACGTCACTTGACTCTTTTTTGTGACCGTACCGAACTGAGCGATCGTGTTTATAATTAGGACCCATTATGGCGCATTATTACGAGCTCATTTACGTGCTGTAGAGATCGAGCTCCGGATAGGATGTATTTTAAACTTCAAGTGCTCCTCCTCCAAATTCACAGCTTTTTTTCTCGAAAATTCAGTATCAAACGTCAAATAAGAAGAAGAATAATAATAACTACTGGATCTTTAACTAAACGGCACGTGGTACTCCAGTGCATCTTCCTACCATTCCAATAGAAAAAACAAATACAGCGGAAGTCTGTCATATGACATGCCTACTTATGATCTTTTCTTCCGCGACCACACGCATTTAAGATGGAAATTTAGGAAACGCGATAGGCTTGAGAATCACGATCAACCGTGCGAACCCGATTTTTTTCTGTTTTTTCCCCTTTATTTACGAGAAATTTTGAGTAAATAAAGATAAGATAGCAAAGGTTGTATATCATTTTTATGCTTCAGAACTTGTGAATATTTATCCATTGTATACAAATATGTAAAATATTTAAATTTTTACAGAAGACAAAGAATATTTTATAGAATTTTTTTGGTTTTTTATTCTTTCCCTATTTTTAGCTTTGACGACGTCTTAAAATTTCATTGAATACTTAAGAAATTTAAGTATATCAAATTGCATTACAAAATATCATCGCAATATAAAATGCATTTGCAAAAAAAAGAAAAGAATAAATAAGCTTACTCGCTACTTGTTGCTCAGCTTGTTGTTCTATTTGCTGTATTGGTTGGACCGATTCGTGATGGCGTCTTGCGTTCATTCTCCTTCTCTGCTGATGCCTTCGCCTTTGTTTAACCTTCCTCTCGCTAGCTGCAGAATTCGGCTCAACAACAGGACCAGGGTTATCATTGCTTTGACCTCGTCTTCGGCGACGGCCACCACCTCTGTTGCCTCCCACCATGATTTCTCTCGGGGCCGAAAAAACAGATTCGCGCGAAAGTGAAAACTACAGTGGATTGCAATTCGTTGCTTTGTAAGCAGCAGAATTTCTAACCTCACGTTGTCTAGTATTGTGCGCGAGAACTGAGCTAAAAACTCAAGCCGCGAATGTATAAAACGAAGAGAGTACGAAGGTCCGTTCACGGATGGAAGAGAAGAAAGTATAACGTACGTTTCATTTCTTTCTCGCTCAGGGGCGATCGAGGCGACATCGCACCATCGACCTTGGGGCCTTGACACAGAAAAATTGTTTCGAGAGCGGCGCAACGGACGATTCGGCGAAAAGATCTATGGAGCAAAGCATATGAAGACAGAAAGCCGAGGAGAAATAGTCAAGGGACGTATTTCGCTTAAATCTATGTTACTTTTTTGCGCGATCGAGATGCTGTTAATTTTCCGTTCGCAAACGCGACTGCTGCGGACTACTATGTATTAAAGGGGAAGGCGATAAGGTTCCTATCGAGTAATCGATTGAAAAATTGCGAGAAAACAGTCAAAATAAAAACGTGCGTGAATCGTTGTTATTATCGACGGTGGTAGCAGCAACAGCAACTACGTTGTATTTGATCATTTTAACATCGGCTCTCTGGCGGTTCTTCATGTCGACGAATTGAACCCTTCGGCCGAGCACTCGCGAAAAATCCTCAAAAGAACGCGCGTGGGTTCATTAATAACGACGACTATTATGCGTACTTGTAAGAGGCACAGGACGTACGGCTGGAAAACTGAAGCCGAGAAAAGCGCGCGAGAATTATTCTGCTCTGGGCTATGTGCTGCAGTCGCTGAACTGCCACTATACTGCGCATCGTCACGATGATCGGGCGAAAACAAACAACGTTTCTCTCTCTCTCTCTCTTTCTTTATCGCCGAACTGCATTCGATCGCGCGCTCGCGCATTCTCGTTCTGTTTTTATCATCGACGCTTGGTTAATCTCCCTCGTAAAAATGTCCACGATGATTACGCAAGTATAAATTTTCTATACGCATTAGCGCAGCCAGCTCGCGTGTTTCACGTGATTCTTCCCCAATGAGTGTTTATATTTACTCGGCCGAATTCCAAAGTTCATTTCGTTTCTTCTGTTTTTTTCGTCGGCCAATTTATTAAAATAGAAACTTAATTGTTTCTTCGATATAAACATTTCGAACGCATAATATGACAATTCTTTGGATGCAAGTGTGCTTTTTATAAATTCACGTTGCAAATATCGGTACTTATGCACCTGTCGCCCAGAAAAGAAACGTAACTGAGCTCCGTTAATAACGATGATCGCACAGGGGCTGCAACGCGAGTTTGTGAACAAAAGCGTCGAAACCGCGAAAAAGAAAACGGAACCAGCCCGACGGCTGTACTGTAATGCGCTGCACACGTGTCGCTCGTGTCAGACGCGCGTCTCGCGGTTATCGTAAGAAACTTTTTCTCTTTTTCTTAAAAAAAAAACACATGCTGATCGCGCAAGTATTATATACACATACGTCACAAGTTCATGTAGGTGTATTGCATGAGAGAAGCATGCACTATGTACGCATGCAGTGCGTGCATACGTGTATTCTTATACAAAGGAAACGGCGACATGCTTGGCTCGCTCGAAAAAGAAAAAAAAAGTGGACAAAGGGAAATCCGGACTCGAGCGATGATCAGCAGTTCGTTCATGGTTCTTTCGCTCCGTCTACGCGGGATATGCTAATTTTTTCTTCCTTTTTTTTCGTCGACCGAGACCTACTCGAAGAAAAGATGATTTTCCAGCATAAACTTTTTTTTAAACCTACGTATAGCTCGTTGACGTGCTTAATTATCGCTGGACGGTCGTACGTGAATTACATCAGGTATCTTCATCGGAGGTATGCGCGCACAAAAGAGTGCGATAACCGCGCGAAAAATCAATCGACGCGATACTGCGCGCGAGCCACACGTTTAACGATATGGACTTTCTCGTCAGCAAAATGTTACTAGAAAACTCGGATGAAAGAGTTTGATGGTGAGCCACTGAAAGTGCAGCAGTAGCAAACTTTCACTGCGCCATGGCTATCGTAAAAATCAGATCGCATCCAATCTCGTACGCGTCAAAGTTAGTATGTTCTATGTATAGTGAGAGTGATACGCGCATCGGCGTCGTCGGCGGCGATGGTGGCGACGGTGAATCGGCTATTGGCAAAAGAGAAAAAGTGCATCTGTCATGCATAGACGCGACGATGCTCGAATACGCGTACGTACGTGCAGATGTGCGCAGAAAACCGGAAACGGATGTAACGAGCACGAGACTTTTATACACGAGGGAAGTTAGCGACGACGCTCGCTCGCCCGTGTGTGTCTGTGTGTGTGTGTGTATGTGCGTGTGGCGCTGCAGCGTAGGACCTACCTACCACGCCTTGCAAGATTGTATTACTACGCCTCGGAGAAGTGGGTGGGTGGTTGCAGTGGACCAATATAATAATGCACATCGGCACGACGATGCTCGATGGGTTGGATTTTCTATTTTTTCATTCTCTTTCATTATTGGCATAATAGCTTTTTTTATAGACAGCTGACGACGCGACGAGTGGGTAAGCCTGACAAGCCTGCAGCATGCAACGATCCGATCGGCGCGTTGATACGTGCTCACTCATACGTCAACAAAAATAAAAGGTGGCGAAAATTTTTTTGCCGGCGTAAAAGTTAAAATTGTTTTATAGCCATGTTAAAATCGTCAACGACGAGAGCAGTGTCTTTTACCGTATACATGCGCGAGCGTTAAATGAAAAAGAAAACGGCGGCGCACAGTCGCACACGTACAGTAGTCGTGCGAACGAAATCAAGATGTAACGGTACGGGCCTCTGTGTTCTGCTTCTATAAATACCGTAGCGCGAATTGTTCGTTTTTTCGTTTGAAGAAAAAATCCATTTCATTTCTGTTTTCTCGCTGCTCGTCGCCCAAAGAGATGAACAGAAGAAAGGGTTCAACAACCGAGTGCGTGCGCTTATTGTACATGTATTTGTGCATTGCTAAGTCTTGGAAGTAAATTTCACTGAAGGCTAAGGAAGCGGAGATGCGCTCAGCGAGTCTTATATCCGGATGTACACTATCGTACTTCTTTTCCACTTGCGATCCTCTCGAATAAACATAAACATAAATGTGTATACATTGCTGCTTATTCTTACTGCTGCTGCTGTTCGACCGCCCATGTACTTAGCAAAATGTACCTCCAAGGGAGTTCATTTTTGCCACGATGCCATCGCGTAATTTTTTTTTATCTTCTAACTTTTTACGCTAATTAAAGCCACTGCAGTGTGTATTTCGCAGGAAGTTCAGCCACGCGCTGCCTTTCTTTCTTTTAATCTTCATGTGCGTTAATAATGACGTTGCGCGAGAAAAGTGTACCGTAATATTTAATAATTTTAAATAACTAGAAAAGAACATAACTTGAAACAAAACAGGAGTAAAAATATTGTATCGTTCTTTTTTCCCCCTCAGAGTTACATTAAAATACTGTAATTTTGGAACAAGAAAATGTCACGGTATTGTATGTATTTTTTTTATGCATCATACTTTATTTCCTAAAGCATCTATACCGTAAATGTTATAAAAATAATCAGCAGCAACGATTCATGGATGAAATACTCGACAAGAATTATCCACGTTGATCGTCTCGATTAATTCAAAAACTCACGTGAGCGTTTAACGACAATTACAGCCTTGTCGGTTAATTTTATTGTAGTTCTTGTTTTTTTTCAACAGTTAAAAAACGTCGTTCCGATAAAAGGAATGTTGCTCTTTTTCTATCAAGACAATTCAATGAATATTAAAATATCGGATGAAGAAATTGTCAAAATCATCGGTATGAGAGTAGAGGAGGCAATGCGCGTACACGCACACAACAATTGCCCACGGAGAATCGTCAATCATCTCATTACTGCGTTCAATTCAGCGCAGCGAATTCTGTGCGATCGCTCGGGCGCGCGCATTACACCCACGCGTCAATTCCAAGAGCTCAATTCACGTCAATCAGCGCCGTGCTCGGGCGTGAACTCTGTGGTGCGCGATCGGTCATATTCCGCACGCACCGCGCGCGCTGCACATAGTATGATGTGTACTGCGTTTCACGCATAGAGACATGAGCAGTCCGACTTGTATATTTTCAAATCGTCCGACCAAATAACTAGCGAGAACTAGCTGCAATTGTAAAAAAAACACATAGGCATAGTTCGCAAGGAAGTATTCCTTTTCGCGACGCATCGTTGTCACGGCTCTCCTGCGTAGCTTTATCCTTTCTTTCTTTTTCGGATTTTTAAGTCGAGCTCGAGGGGGATGGTGACAGATGCGCTTGTGTCTCTTGGAAATCGGAAATAAAAATATACGCGCATTGTATGCGTATATGGAGGAGAGCCAACTTTTGGGGTTGCAGTGGCAAAGAGAGAGAGAGAAATGTATACTGTAGAGTGCGGGTATACACTTGGGGATCACATCTCTAGATATGCGCGATGCTTTTTAAAAAGTATAAGCTGCGAACAGAGTCGTTTATCCGATTTTAGAGCAATGAACAATGCCAACGAGGGGGTCACGTTATTTTACAAGCCTGTTGATTTTTCTATTCGAATTTCGTGTATTGAATTATCAATGCTTTTACGAAAAATGGGATGTGTCTTCGCGGCAAATGTATGATCAGTTATAATAGGAAGGATAAGTAAAAAACAATAAACTTACATTGAAGCGGAAGTTAATACAAAAATGTTTAATAATATTTCTTTCCTATTAAAAGGAAAGGCTTGAAGACTAAGAAGGTATAATCATTAGGCTTTAATAGAAAAGTCTTTCTCTATATGACTGCAACAATATATATAAGGCATTAAGTTAATGATGGATTCTATGATCATAATGAAGGCTTTCGCGCTAACCACCAAGTTCCGGTTATGAATATTAATATTTATGCAAACGAATTTTTGAAAAAAATTTCTATATCCTCGAGCTCGTTTTTCGAAAATTTCGTGTATCCGAAATAAAAACGGCAGGCGACAAAGTAACTACGCCGCCGCCGCAGCTGCACGCGAGCGCGTGTACATGTTACACTCGCACACATACAAACACGGACAGAGGCACAGCATCAGCTGCTCCGTATATTTAGTCTACGCTCACGAGAGATGCATAATTGCAGTAGGCTTATAAACACATATAATGTCACCGGCTGGCGTTGTGTACACATGAAAATGTTTAAATACACTTAATTCAATGTTACAACATTTATATAATGTATAAAATTCGAGCTGAGAAGGTATAATTACGCTTGCTATAATGAGCCATCATTACTTTTCTCTTTCTTTCTCGTATAAATAAGCCGAAAATCGTCGGTGCCACGGCGTTATGCGCTATGTATACTCAGCTTTGTTTTATTTTTCAGATAAACAAAGCTCGTCGTTGAAGCAATCGTCAAGACTGAAACCTTTTTTTCACGCAAAGCAGGACAAATTCTCGGTTCGGCCCAGGGGCCAGAGACTATAATATAATCGACTTTGCATATAGCCAGAGAGCAAGAGAGCTTGGGTATTTGTATATACACATCTTGTTAAGAGAACGGTTGGCCAGGATGAATGACAAAAACTGCTTGTAAGATGCGACAAGTACGTTTAGGAAGTTGCTCGCACGGACTTCGAGTTAAATGCGACAAACAGTACATTATACGCAAGACCAGACTCCTTGATTATATATGCGCGTATAAATACATGTCATGTGCTTATATGTGTATAAACGAAAAGAGAACATTATATACTCGAGGGCCGGGTAAGAG